CAAGCATGTCGTAGTTTCAATGTTAGGCTCAGGCTCGAGGGTAGTGTACATTGCTTCTGTTTGTGCGGTCCTATTTTACGCTTGATAGACATCAATGGATTGTATAGTTTAGCAATACTCGTCTGCGAAGAATTGCTCGTATGTTGTGAAAATATCACATTACATTAATCGGAGCACATACTTGGGCTGTGCTTTGCACTGCCAAGCATTATACCATTTATTTATTTAATTATTTGTATAAGTTCGATGTTGAGTGCTTGGAGCAAAGAGCCCTGGGCTCCGAAACTTTATTTTCAAACAACACGCGTTAGCTCATCCACCACTGCCGATCTCAGCCTATTGTCTTCCCTGTCGAGCGCAACTTGGAAGTCCCGGAAACGTTTGTAAAGTGCACTTAAATAACAGTGTCGTGGAAAAGGAGCATGAATACGATAACTTGAAGATTGGCCTCAGTTAAGCCGGTCGGACTTCGAGGCGGGGCTTACGCAACTCAAACTGGAAAAGCTGGATTTTATGACCAACAATAAACGTCAACGGGGCCAGTGTTCTTCTCCAGTGTCATCTGATAGTTAATGCATAATGGAACACAAGTGACCAGGTGTTTGTACCAAGTTTGACTAGTACCAGACCCGCTAAACTAGACAGCCTATATTGAAACATTGATGACTTACACAACTTGCTGGCTAGTCTTGACGGGATGATGCCTACCGGACCAGATGGGATACACCCACTGATCCTCAAGCCATTATAAGCCATCATCTCCCCTTTATTAACTGAGCTGTTCAACAGGACATTAGACACTCTTTTATTACCGAACGACTGGAACTGCTTAGTCGTAAAACCAAAACCGAAAGGTGGTGAGCTAATCAAAGTGGATAACTACCGGCCGATCAGCCTTACCGCTGTTTTAGTAAAGCGGCTTGGGAAGATCTTGAAGAAGAGTCTTCGTCAGCATCTCGGCTCGAAACGACTCGTGACGCACTCTCGGTTTCCTGTAAGGTGGCTCGTGCATTATCAACCTACTGTTGAGTATGCACGAATAGTTGCAAGCGCTAAACCAATTTCGACGTCATTTATATTAACTTAAGTTAAGCTTTTGACAAGATGATTAACGTAGTGCTGCTCGACAGGCTGAGGATGTACGCTGTTGGCGGCTTGATGTACCGATGGATCAGGAATTGAATTGTTGGTCGGAAGTAGATGGTCCAAGTCAACAACCATTTGACCGACTGGGATCCATGGATCAGTAGCGTACCCAAGACATTGTACTGGGGCGCATTTTATTCCTGATCCATGTAAACGATGTGCTTCATCTATTCCGGTTATGTGCGTCATTTGCAGGTGACTTGAAGTTGTGGTGAATACTACGCACACCCAATTACTGTGACACGCTTCAAGAAGATTTCAATCGCCTCAAAACATATACTGCGGAAATCAACCTTCTTATCAACCCGATCAAGTCGCAATTCAGGAGGTGTTGTAAATGTGAGCAGTCGAATCTACACTATGGCAGGTCAACCGCTGCATTCCGTGCCTTTCGTGCGAGACCTTTTTGTACGTTTACGCCACGACCTTAAGTACATGGACAACACGAATTGGCTTTTCCAAAACGGCCTTCATATGCTTTGAATGCTAAGCTTAGCTTCAGCACTGGTTACGAAGTGACTGCTACTCGCTTCTTCGTCTCAGTACTACGACCAGTGGTAGATTATGGCTCTCCGACATATTGTCCAATCACCCGAGGCAAAGTAGAAAAGACTAAGCGAATGCAGCATTTGTACACCAGGCTAATTTCCTATTTACGCGGTGTGCCGTACGAAGACCAGTGTAAGAAACTGGAGCTTTACAACCTAGCTTATCGTCGACTGCGCGTTGGCCTCATCATTAAGCACCGGATAGTACAAATAAATGAATACGCCAGGTTGGTGCTGCCGTCGCAACTGCGCACACCAAACAGAACAGGAGGACACTGGTATTAACTTGTAGTACCAGAGTTGACGTGGGTAGATCACCAACTCTGTTTCGAACAGAGAGTGGAGTATGTATGGAACAACCATCCGCAGCACGTCGGTGTCGGAAATTAAGGAATTCATGGACAAGCACTTGGCCGTTATAAAATATATCGAGCGCACTCCAACATAAATGGTCTTTGTATCTGATTGATATTAGATTCATCTCCACAGAGCTATTCTTGCTGCTTATAACCAGTACTCAATAATAAGTAAATATCTGAAACAAAAAATGAACATATGTGGTATGAAAACTAAAACCCTTTTCTTTTACCACATAATTTCTGTTTTCACTTCTTATTACCATGGTTCAGTTTGCTTATGGACGGCGATCAGACTGCAATCATATATATATATAAATATGTATATACACTAGCGTCTAGAAGAAATATTAGTATTAGGAATTATCAATGATTGCTTAACAAAAGCAACAAGTGACCGTTTCTCTTCTATCTGTTCCTGTCAAGAATCCTCAAGGACAGCGAGACATCTATGATCTCTGCAGTCCGTTTTAAAGAGATGTGCATAATTCATTAGTGTTTATTGCACCCGCAATTTACTGAATCACTCAACGGTCTCCTGGTGGCATTGTGTATTTGTAGATGCAACTAGAATTTTTATTTACATCCTATAGATGAGGTTTATTTTCATCATGGATGCCATAAATTTATTTTATTTAAGTGTTTTCAAATAGTTAATTCAAGCCGTCTTACATCTTCTAGTAGTAAGAACCCAAAAAATAGTTTTCATAGCCGTTGGCGCCCACTGAACCGTAGTTGATGCCATATGACTATTATCAGATTACCTAGATACGATCACCTTCAGTATTGCTGGGTAACCATTTTAAAGCACTAAACGAAATGTATTTAAGAGGCGGTTACAAGATTTTGTCAGCCACTACCACATCATCCTCCAATATACGCGTTGGACGAAACCGGTGTTTAGACGACCATGATTAGGAAATCCACGGATTCGTCACTGACATTAAACGCAAGTATGCGTTAAGCCTCTACGCATTTCTTGTTATGCCTAAATTCATCAGAACACTATTGTGTGGTTTGGAGCTGCATGCTTAACTTGCTATAAACAATACCGTCCACTGGTGAGATTTGCCCAAAATGGTACTACCACTACGCCCACATAAATCGGCTTTGGTACACCTTGCTTCATCGTTGCAAAGTACATTAGGGGCCAAGGTACCTTTGGTAAATGCTGTCACAATGACCAACAAAGGTGGTAGCAATGTCAAGATAGGATAGGTTTGACAGAACATAATTAATTAATAAGCGACATTGGTTTGCCTGACAGAAACTAAATGGGCATTCGACGCATATATATTTGAAGGCGGGAGCGTAAATATCTGTTAGAAAGAGCGGCATTTAGGTAAAAAAACGAATAAAAACTAAACTGATAAAAATAGGTGATGCTTGTCGTTGAAAGTTGTTGCCACCTGAAAAGTTCATCAGGACGCAGTCGTTGTGAGGATTGGTATGACTAAGGTAGCCCGTGTTTCTCAACATAGAATTAACCCAAAACGTTCGCTATGCTAATCCCGTAACATGTTGGTACTGCGTTCAGCCACTCTACACCGATCCTTAGAGCACCGTCGCTCAAAAGCTATTTTAAATGCTACAATTCAGTCTCCCGTATGGGATAACGAAAGTATTTTGTACTGGACTACACTTTAGTCCCGAGTTAAGAAGCTAGTATTAAAGGAAATCATGCAACTCAATACTGCGTTGTTTTGGTTTTTTCCATAAGGCAGCGATGTGTTCCTAAAAGCAACACGCATACATTACAAAGATGTCATGCAAGTTGGTACCTAGGGACGCTGTTCTGTCGCATGTCTAGGACTGTTTTCACCTTAGTGCTAAATTTTGCCAAAAATAAAATTGCGCTGCTAAATATCGTACACAAAAGAGTGCTGAATCAATCTCAATGCCGGCCTAGACCTGTGATCGAAATTCCTTTGCTAGTCCTGTTGTACGAATTGCAAGTTAGGGTTTTCACCAAGCTGACCAATGACAAACAGTATCTCCTTGGCCACGCAATACTAAAATCATTGTTTAATAACAGTGGACCCCAATACAGTGTCATCGACGCGAACTTCTGGTGAGCACCTCTGTCAGAGACCAAAGTATACCTGCCTTTCTCATTGTTTTGTACACACTGATAAGTCCGTTTAAGCGGGATAAAATAAACACCATTTGAATAAAAGAAAACATTTGCGAGACTTTATTTGGACAAAATAATTTGCTATTTATATTAAGAGCGAACCAGCAATAAGGCGCAATCTGCAATGCAGGAGACTACCGTTAACTTTCTCACATGCAAGCTTAAAGGTATAGGTCATGCCTCCGCCCCGCATATGGAAAATGACTGATGAAGATATTCCCGTATCGTTTTGATTAGATTTCTCAATCTTTCCTGCATATGTGACCACGCATATTCTCTTTCGTCAATCACATTATGACTAGTTTGGATATGTTATAAAGCTCTTGGTTTGCTTTCTCGCAAATGTGTTGCTCTACTTGGAGTTTCCCCCGGATGCATCAATAAAGTCGGTTTGAATTATTTGCACTACTGTTAAAAGCTTTTCTGTTTTCTTGGCCTCATTCTAACTACCGATATCGTTTACGAGCCGCGCTCTACTACTTCCTTTGAGCTTGGATTACGCCGCCTGATCTCGCTCACGAAGACTCTGTCGTCGTCTGTCCTCTTCCGTCATTGTGGCTTACCAGTCTCTTGTTTGATCTCTGTCACCTGCGCCCATACAATATAACTTCCGAAAAAAAACTGCGTTGTAAACATAAGTTTTAGTCAACTTATCCCCTGATGCGTAACTTCTTTTCTTGTTAATGAGGCTGGTTTCTGAAAAACCCACCGGACTTTGCTTTTATCTAGGAAACGAGTTCAATACTATTTAATTGCATTTGACCATCCGACTTTAGAACTTTCGCAGCCCGCTTACACGATCCTTTGTTTACACAGGATCGAATCAATCATTGAGGAGTTTTTGAGTGACATGCATCCAGACTGCCACAGCTATGCGGAAGAAGTGAACATGTTATGCGAGATTATTAACGAATACAGTAATTTGGTCTCGGTTTTCGACATGGAAGAAGATTCCGATTTGGACGGTTATGTGATTTCTTCACTATTAGCCAGTGGTGAGTGCAGACAAACTGAGCAAACAGTTCTTCTAGTAAATTCACTACACCGCGGCAAACCAGGTATTCACATTTGTTTTGCGTTTCACCACGCCTGTTGCCACCAGACAGCGACATGCCTTAAGGAGTTCCTAGGTTGCGTGAACAATGGAACTTCGTTGCTTGAAAAGATGTGCATACGCCAACAAATTGTTGGTTGCTTTCTAGTTCATTGGTTTTACAACCGACAGTTCTCGTAAGAGATCAAAACTTTCCATAATATTGCAAGCAGACCAAATGCTTACAGAATCAGTTATCATTAATTTTAGGTTTGGGCATTTTAAGCTGTTCCATTGCCAGCATTTTAATTAACGGGGGTTGTAAGTTAAAACCTCGGAGCCAACAGGTGTCTGTCTAAAGATTAGCAATTGGTCGTATCCTAAAACAGGAACGTTTTCCATGCTCACCACCTGAAATTTATTCATTCTGGAGCGGAGAAGCTTATGTTAATCCTATGCACATTTCGTAACCATAATCACTGCTAGAGATTATGTAACCGATCGCACCGTACCAATTACATCGATGTGTAATTCCACGCAAGAAGCCAGATCACTTACTTTTTTGAAGCATTGTCATCCCATCACTGGCAGGACAAATATTCGGAGTGCAATTACAGACCCCACAATGTTTCGTGTGGATGCTTATCAATTTTATTTTACTCTGCTTCTGCATCTCGCACTTTTTTCATACCGTTATTTTTCATCCACGATGCTTTTGCAGCCGGATCGATCGTGGCATCTGATCAAATTAACCTTGAACAATTGGAGATAACATTGACGCTGAATCGTGCGGACATCGCAAGGGAGAAAATTTTCCTGGAGAACAAAAAATGGAAGGTAGATCCTCTGGTTTCCTAGGTATCAGCATCTATTTGCGGTGTATAGCATCGGTGGCTTTTATGCTGTCCTCAAAGACATTCATACCTACGCTTAACAGTAGACACATTTGATGGTCCTAGTTAGCATTTCTGATGTAGGACAACTTCATTTATTTCCAAGTTCAGAAGACAAAATGAAGGTGTTATTATTCCTGTTATATCCAATATCTTGAAAAACTTTTAGAGCTGGTCGAAAACGCATGAAAAAGGTTGGCGGTTAAATGACAGCGTTAAGCGTTAGCGTCAAAGCTGCTTCATGCCGAAGGAACAAGACGAACGTTGATATGGGAAGTATAACGATATGGGAGGATTATCTCGACGAAAGTGATGTAGACAGGAAGTCATTCAAGTTACCAGTCAAAGTGCTACTTAACACAGCACCTCGAACATTCACGAATGGTCCGTGTTACAAGATAACACACAAAAGCCTTGTTACTCATGAAAGTCGGGATGCTGTGAGCTTCATTCTCAGTCCGCAATCAGTTGGGCGACGCTCCGCAGACTGGACGGGTTAAGGTAGCTCGCTCCCAGCTCGAAGTCTCTGCGCCTTCCATTCAGCCTAAGCATCCGTTCAACTTAACCGCCTCAGCGGTTTGCCTTTAGAGGTTAATCGTAACTATCTCGATGTTATCCAAGTCCATCTCATGACCCGTATCCATCACGCGCATCGCTGCTGCCTAATCCCTCAGCAGAGCCATATATCACAGCCCCTTCCTCAGTGGCTATGTTATGCGCCTTATGTGTTCTGCTTTCCTTGTGCTCAGCTCTGTCTCTGTGTGGCTTACGTGCAATTGTGCGCATTGTTTACATCTAATTTTGGAGACAACATTAGCTTTCCTATGCGTGGGAATTGAGTTCTTAAAGTGCATCAGTGTTGAGGGGAGCGTTTTGCCTTCCGTAAATTACCCTTCCCTTTTCTTTGCTTAGTACCTTCCAGATAGTCTGTGAAAATTCTTCTGTAAAGAATTTTCGCCATCCCTTCTACTCCGTAGTACGTCGTGAATAAGGATACAAAAGCGAAGCGTTGTCCATTAAATATACTAACCGATAGCTTTCAAACATTTATAAAATTTGTATCATATTTTTTGTTTGAATGACAGTGTAGGCACTACAACAACTCAAATCTGTGCGTGGTATCAGTAGTAGAGGAATTACCAAAAGAAACTTTAGTCGCTTGGCATTCCCACAGTATGCCTTGTCCCTTTGACTGATTTATGGCAAAACCGAGGGCTGCAAAACTGGGTAAGTATTCCCTGTGGTTGACACAGGATATGCTCGTTTTGCTCAGTTTATAACTGTTAGCACTTTCACGTAAATTTCACTTGGAGATAAAGCTTGATGCGTAGATGCAGTCAATTCCGTTAGGTGTCTCTGTTGCTGGGCGATCAAATACAACAAAGTGTCCTTTACACGTAGTTTGAGAATGCGTTTCTTAGATTTCTGTGACCTCTGAATGTAACTGGAAAAAAGTCACGGGGTACGCTGTCATGAGCAGTCCGTAGGGTTATCAAATCATTCAGTCATGCACTTCGTCATCCGAACGCCCGTTGTGTTCCAGAATGTCACCACAAATTGGAGTCCAAACAAACAAAAGTAACTTCAATACGGAAATCGGTGTCAGAATCCCTATTCACTTACATCGGAGTCAAATTTGAATAATGATTGATCTGGTCATGAATCTGTTAAGTTAGGGTTCACAATGCCAGTGGTACGGAACTGGTTATGATGAATAACCGCGGTTCAAACAGTGATCATTGTGGGAAACGGCAGTCCACATTAATTGGATCAGAAAATCGGTCCTGAACTCGAAACTGTAGGCGCCGATGAAGGAGGCAGTTTCCGATACATCCAAGGGCAGTGTTGCGAAGTCCGTACGCTTACAGCTTCTGGAGGCGGACGCACTGATCTATGCCTTTGCGTGCTTCAGAAAAGTCTAGGTAGATGATAATAATGCCATTCTCCCTGCCAACTATCCAGTTCCTCGTTGGCTGTATTGTGCGCCTCATGGGTTCTGCTATTATTCTGCTTTGCTCCGTCCCTGTGCGACCTACGTCCAGGTGTACGCAGTCGTTGCACCTGATTTGGTAGAGGCATTTAAATTTTCTATCTGTAGAAAGTGAGTTCTGCAAGTGCATCGGTGTACAGCGTAGTGTTTGGCCTTTCTGGAAAGGTACCCATCACATTGCTTTGTTTAGTATCCACCGAATAGCCTATGAAACTCCATCTGTAAAGAAGGATTGATATGAAGTAAAAAAGCGGTTAATTTTCATATCCCGGTGCCATTGATACTGTGGTGGTTAAAATGAGTTTTGAAAAAGAGCACACACGATTGGCGGCGCACATTATGCCATTTCCTTTCCCTGTGATTAAACATAATTTCTTAGTTTCTCAGTTAATTGGTTACCCATCCTATGCAATCTTACCAATATTACGTCAAAGCCAAGTTAAGTTGAAGAAACAAATAGAGTAGGGTTTACGTAGTAAAGAGTAATCTTCCGTAACGCCGTCATAAAATCACTTCACATATCGAGATTGTAGTTGAGTCACATGTTATTAGCAAATCCCTTGGGTAACATAAGCGCCTGGAGAATAGAATTGTTACTTACGCAGCAAGAGAAAACAAGGATTCTATGTCATTACGCTTTACACGGAACAGATGATTGTTAGTCTTATATGTGAGATTTTGGACATTTGAACGCCAGTAAGGCATAAGTCAAGAATCAGCCGCGTCGTGGCCTATTGAAATATAAATCAGCGGTTTGTTAATACTAAAGTTATATATATATATATGTTATGCAGCCTATCAACAAATTACACGATCAGCAACCTCCTGTAGTACGTAAGCAACATAACTACTCTGCGCCTGCAGTCATCCAGTGAAAATATGTACCGTTAGCGAGAGGATAATACTAGAGCTTTTAAGGCGTATAGCCAAACAAGTACATTATAATGCACATCTTCGACGGTTTTGTAATGGACGTGTTACAATTGTAACGGTACACTTAAAAGTAAACCTTTAGAATATCGTTATTTTATCCATAGGGAAGCAGTGCTGCATATATCAAGGGTCATCTCTTTCAACATTAATAAAGCTAGCTAGCTTCTCTGTAGTAACATATTTAAACCAGTGGTACTAAAAGCCGGGAATTCAATTATGAACAGCGTTGTTTGCCAATTTTCCTAAACCAGGCCTGCGATGCTATTCTACAATTTATGAAATTTTCCACAGGACCCACCAGAGAATTGTTGTTAACTCTCCGCAGCAGTAACGACAACAGTGCTAGAGTTAATTCGAAAGGATACGGCGAATTTTAAAACAACAAAACACCACAAGTAAATAAAATATTACTTTAAAGACTGCGCTCCTCTTATAGCAAGTATATAGGAAGGCGAAAAATTAAAAGATATTTGAAGTTCCCTTCAAACATAAATAGCTAAGACCTTTCCGAAAGACTATTAGAATAATCACATAAATACGCACACACGACTTAGTTGATAAAAGGAGGACAAAATCAAACAGCGAAAAGTGTGAAATTTATGAGCATAGTTGAAATGCGGAAATATAGAAAATGTAAGTTAATGAAATACGTCCACCCAGAAATGAGTTTAAACAAGATAGCACTGTCTCATTTTGTTCCCAAACGCGTTAATTTATAGCTGCCTTGGTCTCCACTTGACACATTACCGACACAGATGTGAATGATGCAATAACCTGAGAAAGCTTTAAGTGCTTCGGCTATGGCTAGTAGATGAACAAGTAAACGCTGAGAATTCGCACGTATATAGCATGCGGCCAGGCGATACATTATCTTGCATCGAACCCTGGTCATGATGCCATCTATGAATGGATATTTGAGGGAGAGTGTCATGCATCCTACTTGATCCTAATATCGGATTAGGTATGATAAAACAGAAAGGATTTTCGGATTCAGCAAGAAAATAAAAGGCCAACATTTAAAGGATTTGCAGTGGTCATTGTATTAGGCAAATTCCTAATTTTGCGCTTGAAAGTTTGGTCAGACATTGTACAATACCTACAGCAGCCCTGATTGACCTTCAGCTGCTTACCATCTTTTTCAAATCAAGCTGTGTCAGTGAAGTCATCATTTAAACGAAAACTAAGACCTTCTCTCCGTTTGCCACGGTATCCGTTTCTCCATTGCAACAGTAAAAGTGCAACATGGTTGCGGTTAATTTCTTATTGAGACGAATTTAGAAATATCCCACGTTGGATTACGAATTGGCTTCGTTCATTTTGGAACTTCACTGATTCTTTTTGTCAGACGGTGCTTTCTGACTAAACCTGGCCTCAGCTTTCTAATAACCAAAGTGCAATACTCTTGAGTCCTATCCCTGGATCCGAAAATATTCTAGTGGACTGTAGCCCACTTATACAAGAAATTGCGTCGCGTATCAAATTCCTGCATTGTTTTGCTTTCAATAAATAGAAAAATAGAAAATTTTTGATGATATTGACGACGGTAGCTCAGCACTGGAAGTCGACGCTCAATGAGCCAACTCCGCATGTTGAGAACCTGCGTGTCTACCGGTAAAGTCATCGTATTGCATATTAGCTAGTTTTGAAGTCAAGTAGGCTGCTGATCATTCATCGTTTTTCAGTTGTATTTATCAATGTTAGAGTTGGGGTCATCTTGATCAAGGAACGCTGGTGAAACTCGCTGGCTATCTGAGTTAAATTGTTTAGGAAAAATCAGCCAAAAGAATTTGCTAATACACGCGTGTTATCTTAATGCAGATTTTACTAATACTTGGATTTTTAACCTTCTTTCCCATTCTGGAGTGCTCTTGCGCTCAGAGGCTAAACATTACGTTCAATGAAATCCCCACTATTCCCATCTGGTGCGGCACTCCACGACTGGAGCGGTAGCATGGTATCCAATAAATTTGCTACTGTGTACAACTTGATACTCATTCTACGTTTTTTTTCCAAAATTAAACAAATTAATTTTATAACATGGTTTTAAAACTCACTCATTATCTATTATCTGATTTCTACAAATTTCAGAAGGGTCAGCTAAACGATTACATGTATCAGGCACTAATGAGCGACCGTCATGATTTCGTCAAGTTATTTCTGGAGCAGGGCTTCAGTTTGGAAGAATTCCTCACCGTATATATGTTAGAAAAGTTGTACACAGATCAACTGAAAAATATGGTGAGTTTGAAAACAACTCTTTTTGGATTATCTTAAACTTCATTGCAGAGCTCAAAGGTGGCAATTTTTCACAAAATGTGGGAGTACAACCGGTCACACCGTGTAAGTTCTTCAATCACACACCCATTTGATACTTTGCTGCTTGACTAAACCTAGTCAGACAATTTAGGCGTATTCAAAGTGCTCACCATGCTTATATTTCAAATTCCTCCTTAAAGCATTTCTCGTGCCAAGATAATGTGTTCGACCAATACCAAAGGAGAGGTAGCCGTCCAACGTCTCGTTCCCCTTCAACTGATCAAACCTGGAGACAGCATGGTAATCCGGCAATCTGTGTTCGCGGCTTACTGGCATGGCCTGTAGTAAAAAGAGAGAATTTGAAGTTGATGAGCTTTTTAGTTCTACAACCGACAATATTTTGCATTATGTATGAAACAAATAAGAAACAACCAGTGAGCTTGCAATGAACTTGGCACATGAAACGTTTCTCTACTAGTTATGCCTGATTTTCCATGCACACATACTGGTGATTTATTAATCCTTCACCAGGATAAAATTCTTATCACAGCGGTTTGTTTAAAAGATAAGAGGTGTACTACGCCTTTCACCTTCTCGGGTGCCATCATAGTTTGATTGCAATTTGCGCAACAAAGAGAGCGGTCGATGATCAGGTAGAAAAATAACTCTAGTTCCTCGACATTGACAGCGATTGATTCTGGATAAGGAGAGATCAACTGGTACATAGTTGGTCTTCACAGTTGGTGTCATCCAACATAAGATTGAGGTGCAGTCACTATAATACGTGTAATTGGCATGTGCACAATTACTGTTAAACTGCATAGTAAGTCTAGTTCACCATCAGACATTCAGTGTGTCAAGGGATGGAAGAGGCTGACTTATTTGGGAGAATTGCTGGAAGATGTACTCTTCATATGTATCTAAAAGCTGCGTTAATTTCCGGTTATAGCTGTCTCGTATAGGGATATTTCGGCTTTTGTCTCGTTCATGAATATAGCAGTATTCCAATGGAATAATGAAAAGGATGACGGGTGTCAATTTTGAGAGTTTATCCTCGGTAAGAATAAGCGTATCTAGCATCACTTTAGCGTGGTCATTTTAAAAATTTCGTATTGCGATTTGTGTGCACCTACCTACGAGCAGAAAAACGAGGGGCGCAAAAAATTATAGTTGTGTTTTAAATTTATTGCCATGATTAGACTTTAAATAAAATACTAATGCTGAATGAGGCGGTCGTGGTGTGCTAGTGTTGAGAAGAGAAACACCGAGCTACTATTGCTCTTGGAGTAGCCTGGTCCGTATATCTAGCGTATCACCACCTGCAATTTGAACAAGAATAAAATGGTATATTTCAATGTACTCAACATTTGCGAAGTTACTGATGGGTACAGAGCATCAACCAATGTTCATCGTCCATTTCGGTCAACAGGTCGCGTCGTGAAAGATTTAAGCTACGTGGCATAGACCAAAAATTAGTGCTTTGCTAAAACTCTTTCGATTAATGATGCTGTGCCCAGGATGCAGTGGAATGTTTCTATGAGTGCATAGTAGTTGTCCAGGTGTTTTGAGTCATTAAACTCACGCAGACTATTCGTCCATTTTTCGCCGAGGAAGTAAATGCGCCATGGTGAGCAGGATTAATTAGGTCATACTAATGAAGCAAACATGAGAACACACGTCCCGTATCCGATATTCAGATATCACTGAGTTCCTCACTAGGACTGGAAAGCCTGACAACCGTTTCAAACAGAGGAGTGCGCGAATGTATAAACGTTTTCGAAGTCGCAAATAATGTCTGCAATAGTTGGATTGTCATTTCCTATTATTCTGGTGCGCCTTACTTCGGCGGATTTTGTGAAAAGCTAACAAATTTTTGATTTAAACGCATACTAACCTATTGTATTTAACGTTGGAAGTAGAGCCTATATTCTTATGGAAACGTCATAATCCCGTACGACAACGTAGCATGCACCCTATTTAGTTTTGCTGAAAAATGGCCCAACTAAATAGCAACATTCAATGACATGTGGGATCAGATACGGAATGAGAGGGCACAAGCGGAGCTACACTTATCTAATGAGTCCCCGTCAGGTATATCATGTTTGCAAGACAGAAAGTCCTCTATACAGTTACCATACGCAAGCTTTCGTTAGAGTTTACTTATATTCAATTGATACAATTTAATTGCATACTGTTAAGTTTTTATACCTTCTTAGCAACATAAACACTATTAGTGTTTTATTTAACCTGCATTGTTTTAACAAATTACATACTTCTTTATAACCACGTCAAACAAATACATTATTTTAAAGCTTACTACTCACCTTGACGAGTGTGACATTTTCATCATATAGTTCTTAATATCACACTGATAATTGTGGTGCCTTTTACCCCTAATATCGTAGCCGTTCATGCGTGAATTGTGCTGTACTGGCACGTGTAATCTATTAGGCACTGACTGCCGTTAACGTTTTTTTAGAAACTAGGCAGGAACACTTCGCGAGAGAATAAGGTAATCCACCGTAGTGATTCTACCATGTCTTGGTATCGAGACATTCATGTGTATACGTGCTCATATATATAGAGAGTACTGCTAAAGGTCCTTTTCCACACCGTATTCACACATCTAGATATAGTTCTAGTATAATGCACATAGTCGTCCTGTAATAATCTGCTGTTGGTCAAATTTGAACTTAAACTTGAAGAAGAGTAACTTTTCACTGGTTTGTTGAAGATGTAGAGTGTCCATAGTTAGATGCAGTGTTGTCATATATGTTTAGCTGCATGTGTGTCTTGATGTCCTTTGATATGATTTTGCATAATCTTTATCTTGCACATTATACGGTGAACACACATAAACCTGAAAGCAGCGTCAACAATATTATGGGAGCAACTACCTGGCATAATTCAACTAAGCTAAGTTGTTAATGAATTAAATATATGTATCGTTTCATGGCCTCGTTAGACATCTCAGAACAAGTACAATTAAATGTGTACCCAGGACATTCAATCACGTGGAGACATTAGACTTCCTATATCAAACCTCAAAACTCCATCAATGCATACGATCCTTAGACTTGGTGTTGCATTTCAGTAACGGTCTCTGTAGGTGATTGTTTTGATAGTTAAATAGCATGTGCATTACTTATTAATCGCTTATTTATTTTAATGCTTATTCTTATTCTTGCATGTTTTGGGAGGGAACGCTTTTGTACAAGGGTAAAATGATGCAACTTATTTATTCCAGGGACTCACTAGAAGATAGCATAAGCTAATATCCTTTGGCAAACACACCTAGGAAACGCAAGATTGTATTTTGAATCAGAAAGACTGCTTAGTTAAATTCTATTCAATTTTTATCATGTCTGAAAAATGTCACTACGCCGGCACTTTTATATAGAAATAGAATGTTAATAACCTCCGTTCAATTATTTAGACTTTGGCCTACCCAGAAATAGTAGGTCAGCAATTTAAAGTGGGCAGTTCTATTACTTTGTTGTTTGATTATAAATGCTGCTAGTTTGCTAATTTGCTGTATAAATTCCTTCTAGGATACATGAATATATAATACATTATCCAACTAGTTACATAAATTGTCATGGATTAGTGCGACATGTGATGTTTGCTGTATTTGTTTTTGCTTACGCCATTACAGCAAAGTTCTAAAGTGGCTCTTCGTGATGTTGGAAAAGTTATCAAAGCCTTAGTGGGGGACTTTTACCACCCTCTATACCTAAGCAAAGAATTCCAAGCAAAGTTAATGCCAGAGAAACGCCCTGAAGTCACCGGTAAGTTCACCTTTTCCATTTTCTGTCCCGTGGAAGGCACTTCCATCTGTCATCGGCAAGTGTTATTGCTACGCTCAGAATAAACCGGTAGTGCGCTGCCAAAAAGTTACTGGTAGCTGTGTAAAGCTCTCATGCTTATCAGCTGAATGAGAGATAACCTGGTTGTCATAGTTCTCTGCACTTCAATTCATTGTAATTGACAGGATGGAGTAACCATAGTCCCTGGGTTCATCTGTGAGTGAGTAGGGGTCAACAAATGTAAAACAACACAGGAAAACCGATCACCCGTACCTAGGTTGACGCCCACAGCAGGTTTACTGTGACTGGGCTGTGAAATTGTGAGTTACTCCCATCGGAAGCAACAAAATATACGGAAGCTAAAGTGTAGCCACAGTTACGATGCGGTTTGCAGACAGCTTTTATTGGTTGCTGTGGCAAAAATTGATTAAAATTTGTAGGACATTTTCCTGCATGCAGTCACTTCTATGTTCCTACCAAAGGTTTTAACGCAAAAGATACCTGTGCAATTTATGATAAGTGCAAAGCACAATAATTGTCTGTAATAATATTTCGCGCCTTCTAAAATGCAGAATATACTTGTTTTAATATGTTTATTCCAACAGCATTTATTAGTTTAGTGGCAGCTGGAATTATAAGCATACATGTAGCGTATATTATCTTGCTAAAATAAGGTTAAGTTCCAATTTAACCAGGGTTATGTGCCCAATAAAGAGGTATTTCCAATCACAAAGATAGTATGATACCTGGAGCTTCCAAGCAGCGCGTGACAAGAATATGCTGCTTACCCAAAAAGGAATAACTATTTGCGAAAGTTGTTTCAATGTTACTAGCTTATTAAGATATGGTACTGAAAATATCCCAACACTGGACATCTTGTGTCATTTGTTTATAATAGCATTGCTATAGCTAGTGATTCAGCACTCTTCCAATTTGCTGCCGTTATTAAATTAAAAATGCATACATCCTCATATTATTCCTCTGGTTATATATTACTTTGGGGTAGATTGGATTCATAGGCGGACTGTTAGCACAAATCCATAAAATGAAGTACTGGATAAGTAACTAATTGCTTAGCACCAAATATCACGCTTGGTGTCTCAAGAAATCAAAGTATTGACGTGGATGACGGGAAGATATTATTCCTCAGTTTACTTCTTTTTTTCATCTCATTATCTCCAGCGACTGCAAATGTTAATTTTTAGCGCAGCTGGTAGGATATTCTAACTGATCAACAAATATTCTGACGTATCAACTAGTCTATGTTGTCAGAGGGTGTTTTGACTTCGAGCGCATGCCCTAACTCAGATCATGACTTGTCATTAACATTTGCCCTATTCACTCAATTAGTATCACAGGTAACGATTATCTGTCCTGTTGTCCCTATTACGGGCTTTCTGGACCGAAGTAGTGGCGAGTAGTCCCTAATCCACCGTTTCCGAAACAGATCCGTCAGGTAATTCACTTGTCGCAACGTCGGCTGCATCCATCTTTAACAAGGCTGGTACTAATCCTTCAGTTTTGGACCATAGTGTTAGTAAATCATTTGGCGTGTGAGCTAGTCTTTCGTTTGTGTCCACCTTCAGTGGAACCAATAGTCTACTTTTGGTAATTCGTTCTGCTTCGATAAGTAGGGTAACAGTGCTTCGTCATTTAGGGTCTGTTGCGTGTCGACCGATAACAGAACATGTCTAACCGACCTGACAAAGCGCTCTGAAACGACACCTCTGTGAGTGGCCAATGGAGAGTTTTAGGGCCACTGAATTCCCAGCCTCAGAAGCCTATTATTAATCTTTCCCTGAGACTAACCTATCATAATGGGACGTAACTCAGTAATGGCACCGACAAAATTGCTTCCATTGTCACTGAATGCTTTGGCTGACGCCCAGCTTCATGATACAAATCGCGTCAAATACATGACGAAAGCGTCGGTACTCATGTTATGGGATAGTTCACGTTGTACTCCTCGTGTCTGTAAGCATGTAAACAACCTTCCATATCGTTTCACTTATTTTCTGCCGCGCTTAACACCGAACGGTACGAAGTTGTTCACATCGACTAACTGGAAGCGATGTCAATCTCGTTCAAATCTAGTGAGCAGCAATGGTGACATTAGCTGTTGACCAACGGTGGCAAGCTTTCTTTCGCAAGTCCAACAGTTTTCTAATCCCATGCTTCACAGCTAAAAGCCCGTAACTGACCCAGTACTTACGACGCATGCCCGACATTACATGAGACGGACCCGCATGCTGTTCCGGTAGATGATTAAATCTAACCAACCTCTCTCTTGCCGCATGCTTAGGGAGTAGTATTATTTGGAACTTAAATGATGCGTAGTATTTTTAGTAGGCCGTTCAAACCCATGAAAAGTACGCTATCAAGCAAGATGAAAATAGCCTTACAAGGTTTCCTTGCCTTATTCTGCCTTCGGTAGACGATACTTGCACCATTCTTTCTCATGCCATTTCAAGTCGGCGTCATAAATCTCCCTCTGAGCAATAAGATAAAGTCAACTGCGGCCTTTCTAAGCCCGGACAACATAAGCAACCCGGTAGATTGTTGGACATCATCAGTTGCTCGTTCACGATTGCTTAGATAAGTCTTGAAGCGGGAAAGCTGCGCAACCGACTCTAGGAAGCTGATAAACCTTGAATAACCTCAAATTAGAGTATGCCATTATGTCTCGTACGATAACTAGTTTATTTCAGTTGCTGACTGGCTCGGAACTCACGAAAAAATCTGGCCATTCTTCTTGGTCGTTTAGCAGAAAGTCTGGTCCTCGAAAACAACTCTTCAGACACACCAGCACAAAGGTACCCTTTGACAACGCGTTCGCTGGATTTTGACCCGAGTTAACATGATTCCATTGGCTATGAGTCGAAAACGCATGTATAGCAGACAATTGATAGGCAACCTACGTGCTGAATCTGGTGTATGTGTCATTCATGTAGTAGAGCACGGTGGCAAAGATTGCCCAGAACCACGTTTCTTGACTCGTAGTTGCGCCTTTTCAGTTACATCTTCGAAAGCCCTGGTAACAAACGTGGCCGCGGTTAACTCTGACTAAGGAATAGACACATAATGGAGCCAAGCTGGGCTTGGCATACAGTAAGGCGCAATGTGCGACACTCTTTCTGCAAAAGCTGCCGTAAGTGACCGCTCCATATCTGTTCTCGGAAGAATCACAAAAATATGTAGCTCTGGCGCATCTACAGGCTCGTCGTATCTTGGAATGCATCTAGGGATTTTCATCACATCAAGGGCTATCAGTTCCCCTAACCAGGTGTTCCATTCTTCTACGTCGTTGCTCGTGATCGGATCATCCCAGTAGACTTTGTTCCGACATAAACGTAGCTTAGCCAGAACAGCCTCAGCGGGTTGTATATGGAGGACATAACGGACAGAATTCCTCTCCCTGTTTTTGACCTTCTGTCGGCAGAAAATTGGAAGAGAAAGACATCGTCCTTGCAATCCTCCACCAGTCCCAGAGTCCGTCGAACCGACCCAGATAAATCCTCTATTGGTTTGTCACAGTCAGCGACTTCAGTGAGCAGGACCGCTTCCTATACGTCTGGTTGGTTATAGACCCATTTCCATAGACGAACTAGGCTCTACGTAGTACCTCCAATTTATGCCACCAAATGTGTGGCCCTTTTGCATGGTAATGGAGATCAGCAGGTTGTCGACGTAGAAACTTTTATGATTTCTTCCGACACATTATTGTGGTATCGATATCCGTACTCATCTTCAGTTCGACACAACGCAAAATTTGCATAGAATGTAGACTACGTTGTATGAGAGGGTGAGCCGTCATCTGATACTCTGCCAACTTAGAGCCTATATCCTTATCCTTCCAGCAAAGGAAATGCAGTGTCTACTCTCTGGCACGCTTGCTTGCATATAAATACGTTCCATATCTGCTGAGATTGTCACTTTCTTGTTGAGAAAACACATCAGAGTACCGATAAGGTTTGCCGTGGTATCTGGGCTCCGAAGTAGCTGGTCATTTAGAGAGGCACCCATATGCTTAGCAGCGCAGTCTAAAACGATTCTGAATTTTCCCGGCTTTCTAGGGTTTATAACTGGATGTGGTAGATACAACTTGGGAGTATAACCAGGTCGCAACTGCTCGAATGGCACAAGAATCGCATATCTTTTTCAACCTTCACCGCCAAACTTTCAATGTATTTTTCTGGTAATGATAGAGTACCTAATACTCGGCGGCTCAGACCCCGCAGTCAATGCCAAGCTAGCTCATAGTTGTTAAGAACGTTTTCTCTCCGATTTCCCCACGGAAGGACCTACCCGAAATGTCCTTGTGCCTACAGTACTGAATTCTGCGCGATAGATAAGGCACTTTTTGTCTACAGTGGATGAGCGACAGCACGAAGTTAGCTTTTCAAAATCTCTTTCATACAGAATTTTGAATCGCGCTTCCAGCGGTATATCATCTGTTTGCACACAATTAACCGACACTCTAGTCTCTTAGTTTCCGCCCACAGGAAACAGTAACGTCCATCCTAGCAAGTTCTTTGCGGCAAACATGAGCCTCCGACCACCTCGACACTGTTCAAGCCGCCAGTGAAATTCGTGTGTCGTCACCCAGAAGAATTCGTGCGCTAGTATCTTTTATTTCATCAAAGAGAACATCAGCTAAATGGGGACAGCGCCTAGCAACTTGGCTGTTGGGGCGCGTTACATTATTCTGTGGTCGAAGCTTTAGGTTATGCGCGTTCTATCTCAACTAAATCGGAGCCATTCTAAGCCGATAGTCGAAAATCCACAAGAACTGCGTCTAGGGATGCAAAACCGCTCACGCTCTGTACTTAAGGAAAGACACATTATACACCTTTGTCCACGTCTCCTGCAGTATGTCTTCCTAGACTTGGCTTACATCAGAAACGCTGTCCAATGGGACATATGTCTCAGCCGAGCACAAGAGACCAACCAAAAGCATCGCGTCGATTCCTAGACATACCTAC